GACAATAGGGGCGGGCTAGACAATAGGGGCGGGCTAGACAATAGGGGCGGGCTAGACAATAGGGGCGGGCTAGACAATAGGGGCGGGCTAGACAATAGGGGCGGCCTAGACAATAGGGGCGGGCTAGACAATAGGGGCGGGCTAGACAATAGGGGCGGCCTAGACAATAGGGGCGGGCTAGACAATAGGGGCGGCCTGGACAACCTGCAATAGGGGCGGGCTAGACAACCTGCAATAGGGGCGGGCTAGACAACCTGCAATAGGGGCGGGCTAGACAATAGGGGCGCGCTAGACAATGGGGGCGGGCTGGACAATAGGGGCGGGCTGGACAATAGGGGCGGGTTGGACAAGAGGGGCGGCCTAGACAATAGGGGCGGCCTGGACAACCTGCAATAGGGGCGGGCTAGACAATAGGGGCGGGCTAGACAATAGGGGCGGGTTGGACAAGAGGGGCGGCCTAGACAATAGGGGCGGCCTGGACAACCTGCAATAGGGGCGGGCTAGACAATAGGGGCGGCCTAGACAATAGGGGCGGCCTAGACAATAGGGGCGGGCTAGACAATAGGGGCGGCCTAGACAATAGGGGCGGGCTAGACAATAGGGCTGGCCTAGACAATAGGGGCGGGCTAGAAAATAGGGCTGGCCTAGACAATAGGGGCGGGCTAGAAAATAGGGGCGGGTTGGACAATAGGGGCGGGCTAGACAATAGGGGCGGGCTAGACAATAGGGGCGGGCTAGACAATAGGGCTGGCCTAGACAATAGGGGCGGGCTAGAAAATAGGGGCGGGTTGGACAATAGGGGCGGGCTAGACAATAGGGGCGGGCTAGACAATAGGGGCGGGCTAGACAATAGGGGCGGGCTAGACAATAGGGGCGGCCTAGACAATAGGGGCAGGCTAGACAATAGGGGCGGGCTAGACAATAGGGGCGGCCTAGACAATAGGGGCGGGCTAGACAATAGGGGCGGCCTGGACAACCTGCAATAGGGGCGGGCTAGACAACCTGCAATAGGGGCGGGCTATACAACCTGCAATAGGAGCGGGCTAGACAATAGGGGCGGGCTAGACAATGGGGGCGGGCTGGACAATAGGGGCGGCCTGGACAACCTGCAATAGGGGCGGGCTAGACAATAGGGGCGGGCTGGACAATAGGGGCGGGCTGGACAATAAGGGCGGGCTGGACAATAGGAGCGGCCTAGACAATAGGGGCGGGCTAGACAATAGGGGCGGGCTAGACAATAGGGGCGGGTTGGACAATAGAGGAGGGCTAGACAACCTGCAATAGGGGCGGGCTAGACAATAGGGGCGGGTTGGACAATAGGGGCGGGCTGGACAATAGGGGCGGGCTAGACAATAGGGGCGGCCTAGACAATAGGGGCGGGCTAGACAATAGGGGCGGGCTGGACAATAGGGGCGGCCTAGACAATAGGGGCGGGCTAGACAATAGGGGCGGGCTAGACAATAGGGGCGGGCTAGACAATAGGGGCGGGCTAGACAATAGGGGCGGCCTAGATAATAGGGGCGGGATAGACAATAGGGGCGGGCTAGACAATAGGGGCGGCCTAGACAATAGGGGCGGGCTAGATAATAAGGGCTAGACAATAGGGGCGGGCTGGACAATAGGGGCGGCCTAGACAATAGGGGCGGGCTAGACAATAGGGGCGGGCTAAACAAAAGGGGCGGGCTAGACAATAGGGGCGGGCTAGACAATAGGGGCGGCCTAGATAATAGGGGCGGCTTAGACAACAGGGGCGGCCTAGACAATAGGGGCGGGCTAAACAACCTGCAATAGGGGCGGGCTAGACAATAGGGGCGGGCTAGACAATAGGGGCAGGCTAGACTACCTGCAATACGGGCGGCCTAGACAATAGGGGCGGCCTAGACAATAGGGGCGGGCTAGACAACCTGCAATAGGGGCGGGCTAGACAATAGGGGCGGGCTAGACAATAGGGGCGGCCTAGACAATAGGGGCGGGCTAGACAACCTGCAATAGGGGCGGGCTAGACAATAGGGGCGGCCTAGACAATAGGGGCGGCCTAGACAATAGGGGCGGGCTAGACAACCTGCAATAGGGGCGGGCTAGACAATAGGGGCAATATATAGCCATACCTTATCATTATTTTTAAAAAATGATCTTTAAAGAACACAAAAAACAGTTGCTAATTAGAAAATGTGTGATCTCAACTGTAAGACCAATGGTTTAGTTACATGTAGGCTATTGTTTAAAATCTTCCACCTATTAGGTTTAGTCTATATATATAAAGCAAAGTTGTCGGGTGCCCGGCACTTCCCGGCGCCGCAGGCGCTTCAAATTTGGCATGAGTCTGCCATGGGGCGATAAAACACGAGAGCCGGTGCCGGTTGGCCAAAAAGTTCACGAAGAGGGGATCAAAACTGACCTCGACGGAGCGGCGCCGTATATTGGCTATATTACGAAAAAAACTGTTGCCCGACGATCCCCCCCCCCTCGATAGTTTGTGAGGTGGTAGGAGAACGCCTAGGGGTGTCACAAAAAACTCGCCATGTCCGGGAAAAATCGGGAAATGGGTCAAAACTGACCAGTCGTATTTCCCTATATAATCTTTGTATTTTATGGGAAAAACAGAGGGTAATTTCAAAACGGATTTTAGAGCACTTACCGTCTTTACATCTGACTAATTTTTGGCATGCTTATAGGTAAATGGCTTATTTTAAAAAATGTGTGCAACTAGCTATTATAGGTATATGGCTTGGCCGTAGAGCAAGCCTGTCGGTTTCACTCAAAGCTCTTGACGAGGGCTAAAAAGTGACCGCGAGTGAAATTCTCTTTATATGTGCTCTATTACGAAAAAAATTTCGTCCGACGACCCCCTTGAAATTGTGTGAGGTGGTAGGAGAACACCTAGGGATGTCACAAAAAAATCGGCATATCTGGGAAAACTTCGTAAAGTTTGTATTTCCCTATATAATATTTGTATTTATTGGGAAAAACAGAGGGTCATTTCAACGCGGATTTTAGGGTACTTAAACTCAGTATATCTGGCTAATTTTGTGCAAGCTCCTAGGTAAATGGCTTGGCCTTTAGGGAAAACTGTCGGTTTGACTAAAAGCCCTCGACGAGGGCTAAAACATGACCGCGAGTTAAAATCTCCTTATTTGAGCTATATAACGAAACTATTTCTTGCCGAACAACCCCACCCCCCCCCCCTTGATATTTTGTGAGGTGGTAGGAGAACACCTAGGGATGTCAAAAAAAATATCGGCATATCTGGGAAAACTTTGTAAAGGGGTCAAAACTGACCAGTCGTATTTCCCTATATAATCTTTGTATTTTATGTGAAAAACAGGGTAATTTCAACACAAATTTCAGGGTACTTATACTCTGACTAATTTTTTGCAAGCTCCTCAATAGATGACTAGGCCGTACGGAAAAACTGTTGGTCAGACTCGACGATATATATAAATAAATTGACGAATGATCTCCCTAATATTTTGTAAGGTCGTAGACCGACCCCGAGGGATAAGAAAAAACATTATTCCCGTAAAAAAAAACCTTAGCGTCGTTAGATTTGTCCAGATGACGTATTTTCATATAAACAATTGTTTGTGAAAAAGTAAAAGAAATACGTCATTCGTTCAATTTTCAAGGGAGGTAACTTTTTTAAAATAATTATTTTTCAAACAAGTGTATACTATTTTAAACATAAACAGAAAATGACTAAGTATAGCACTTACTTTAGAAAAAATTAAATTGCCAATTAAGGTACGTATCCTAATTAAATTAATTAATTAATTTTAAAAGTCAATGTAATATAAATTATGAGAAATACTTTTCATGGATCCTCTGTAGTTCTAATTCCATTTTAGTCATACAATGCGAACTTTCCAATATTTTCTCTGTAAACGGACTATAAACAACCAACAACAACAAAATTTTCTCTAAAATTAGCATTACTGTTTAAATGTAAGCACTCCACACCTCAGCCATCACTAAATAATTAATTGATCCAATTCTCAAATGTTTTTGAATACCTAAGCGATGCTAGACAGTATGCCTAGTTTTAATACAAAATCGAAAAGCGTGCTTTTATATCAACTCTGATTTTAAAAACTTAAATTATACCGTAAGATTTTAGAATTTATGATGATATTATATTTAATTCTGATTGCAGACAACATGTTTTTGTAAAAACGAATAAAATAAAGTTTCTTTACTACAAACTAAAGTAATAAGTGATAAGTTTTGACATTTACAATTAAATTTGTAGAAAAAATAAATATTTATATTAAGAGAGTGATTATTTCCCCTAGTTCGTTTGTCTTAATTTTCTAGGAATCATTATGTCAAATTGTTTTTTACAAGGATTACAAAAAGATTGTGTTGTGTTCATTGTGTGTATCGTTTTTTTTTTTTGTTGTTTTTTATTTAGAGTGATAAATTGTTTTATTTTGTCGGCCAACATTGTGTGTTATTTTCTTATTTCCTCAGAGTACTTTCAGAGTACTTTCAATTTATTTTACATCATAGTGAAGCAAATACATAGAGCTAGTATATATATATATATATATATATATATATATATATATATATATATATATATATATATATATATATATATATATATATATATATATACTTACACACATATATATATATATATATATATATATATATGTTTGTATATATATATATATATATATATATATATATATATATATATATATATATATATATATATTTACACACACATATATATATATATGTTTGTATATATATATATATATATATATATATATATATATATATATATATATATATATATATATATATATATATATATATATATATATATATATATATATATATAAACAAACATATATATATATATATATATGTGTGTAAATATATATATATATATATATATATATATATATATATATATATATATATATATATATATATATATATATATATATATATATATATATATATATATATATATATATATAAAACTGGAAAAATTTGAACCCCCCCCCCCATAAGACGATCCTGGCTACGCCACTGGTTCAGTGAATTCAGAGTTTAGAATCGTAGGCCTTGTTGTCTATTCCATTTGTTCTGTCTGTCTTAGTATTCCTCACATCTCCTTCGTCCATTTTCTTCAAATCATCCTTGGAGTAGTGGTCGACAATACCAGCACCAAACGTGTCCCCCAGGACGTTAATCATCGTCCTGAATCTGTCACTGGAACACAAACATATCAATGACACAAACATATCAATGACACAAACATTTCAATGACACAAACATTTCAATGACACAAACATTTCAATGACACAAACATTTCAATGACACAAACATTTCAATGACACAAACATTTCAATGACACAAACATTTCAATGACACAAACATTTCAATGACACAAACATTTCAATGACACAAACATTTCAATGACACAAACATTTCAATGACACAAACATTTCAATGACACAAACATTTCAATGACACAAACAGAGAACTGCTCAACATTTCAATGACACAAACATTTCAATGACACAAACATTTCAATGACACAGACATTTCAATGACACAAACATTTCAATGACACAAACATTTCAATGACACAGACATTTCAATGACACAAACATTTCAATGACACAAACAGAGAACTGCTCAACATTTCAATGACACAAACATTTCAATGACACAAACATTTCAATGACACAGACATTTCAATGACACAAACATTTCAATGACACAAACATTTCAATGACACAAACATTTCAATGACACAAACATTTCAATGACACAAACATTTCAATGACACAAACATTTCAATGACACAAACATTTCAATGACACAAACAGAACTGCTCAACATTTCAATGACACAAACATTTCAATGACACAAACATTTCAATGACACAAACATTTCGATGACACAAACATTTCAATGACACAAACATTTCAATGACACAGAGATCTGCTCAATCGTAGTCTTAAAATACAAGGATGGAAATCTCGCAAGGAATCCCAGCCTGACTTACAGGAGCCAATCTATGGCTAAAATCATGCCAACGTCATCCGTAGGGAAACCAACTGCTGTCAACACAATCACCATGGTAACCAGCCCAGCTTGAGGGACGCCAGCAGCTCCTATTGCGGCAGCCGTTGCTGTTAAACTAAACAACAAGATAATTAGTTGGTCTGTGTCGTGTGATGTCATTGGTTGTTGTGTTTTAGTTGGTCTGTGTCGTGTGATGTCATTGGTTGTTGTGTTTTAGTTGGTCTGTGTCGAGTGATGTCATTGGTTGTTGTGTTTTAGTTGGTCTGTGTCGAGTGATGTCATTGGTTGTTGTGTTTTAGTTGGTCTGTGTCGTGTGATGTCATTGGTTGTTGTGTTTTAGTTGGTCTGTGTCGTGTGATGTCATTGGTTGTTGTGTTTTAGTTGGTCTGTGTCGTGTGATGTCATTGGTTGTTGTGTTTTAGTTGGTCTGTGTCGTGTGATGTCATTGGTTGTTGTGTTTTAGTTGGTCTGTGTCGAGTGATGTCATTGGTTGTTGTGTTTTAGTTGGTCTGTGTCGTGTTCTGTCATTGGTTGTTGTGTTTTAGTTGGTCTGTGTCGTGTGATGTCATTGTTCCACATGTGGTGTGTAGACTGACCAGACAGTGATAATTTGACCAATGTCCATGTCATATCCCCTGACTTGACCAATAAAAATGACAGCCACAGCTTCATAGAGGGCAGTGCCGTCCATATTGATGGTGGCGCCGACTGGGGCCACAAAGGAGATGACACGGGGGTCGATGTGATTGTTCTCTTCCAGGTTCCTCATCGTCACAGGCAGAGTTGCTGAACTGTTGGACACAGGTGGACACAAGATAGAATCAGATGGACACAAGATGGAATCAGATGGACACAAGTGGACACAAGATGTAATCAGATGGACACAAGTGGGCACAAGATGGAATCAGATGGACACACGATGGAATCAGATGGACACAAGTGGACACAAGATGGAATCAGATGGACACAAGATGGAATCAGATGGACACAAGTGGACACAAGATGGAATCAGATGGACACAAGATAGAATCAGATGGACACAAGTGGACACAAGATGGAATCAGATGGACACAAGTGGACACAAGATGGAATCAGATGGACACAAGTGGACACAAGATGGAATCAGATGGACACAAGTGGACATAAGATGGAATCAGATGGACACAAGTGGACAGAAAATGGACAAGTAAAATCATTGGTTACCTAGAAGATGTCCCGAGTGCTGTCAACATTGCTTGTAACACACCCATCATAAATCTGTAACACACCCATCATAAATCTGTAACACACCCATCATAAATCTGTAACACACCCATCATAAATCTGTAACACACCCATCATAAATCTGTAACACCCATCATAAATCTGTAACACACCCATCATAAATCTGTAACACACCCATCATAAATCTTTAACACACCCATCATAAATCTGCAACACACGAGTCACTGAGTC